CGCTGTGAGACTCTGGTCTGAAACTATGGTCTATGAGCTAAAACACCTGGACAATAGCCATCCACTACATCACACCTGGCAACCTGCATCACACTTTGCAGAGCATAGTAACCCCCTAGCACGATTGCTCAAGCTTGGAAGTGGATAGGCTGCTCCTGGGTTCATGATGAAAATGTAATTTGTCTATGTCCCACATGTGATTTAACCAATACCTGGATTAATGTCAAGATTATAAGTGGAATTGTTGAGATTGTAACTGGTATTGTCAAGATTATAATTGATAAGTTTCGCCAGCTTGACCCCAGTAACCATGTATTCCCCCTGATCCTAGCAACCCTGTATTCCCCTCCCGATTTTGTGGGTTTTTCCTTTATAAGCTCTGTTGCTTTGGGCTTCGGGGCCAGAGTTCTTTAGGGCAGGAGCCCACTCTCCACCGACAATAAAGGACCATCAGATTTCATCCATGTGTGGTGCTTCTTTGTTTACACTCACTCAGTACAACATTTTGGAGGCCCCAGCGAGATGTGGAGACCACCTCCAGGAAGACCTCGCTCCGATCCTTCCAGGTTGGTGCTCTGGCCATAGGGGAGGCGCCCCTGATGATATTCCAGGGCCCCGGGTTCCGATTCATCCACCTGGGAGGCTCGGCTCGACCTCTTCACTGACCAATTGGCCTTAGGTCCTCTGGTAAGGCGACTCCTGTTTTCTGGTGGCACCTCCTGGGTATTGGAGGTCTGACGAGATGCCAATACAGTCTCTGTTCTGTTTGAGTGCGATGGCGTTAGGACGGGAGACTCTGGTCTGGTTAAAGAAAGGCTTTTCCTGGATGCCTGTTCCTGATTTGTGGCCACTTTCTGATGTACTGTCTGCATCCATAATCCTGGGAGGTAAACTCTTTTCCCTGTACTGCCCGTTTGTCTCCTTTATTCCCTTGTCTGTGGGGTCTCTCTCTCCCTTCCCTGAGCATGGGCTCTGCTCAGTCTAAGGGGACACCTTTCAGTGTATGTTCAAAAATTTCTCTCTTTTAAATCTAGAAAGATTGCTTCCTTAAAAATTGCCTTGTACCTTGCCAAAGTTTTGTGGCTTGGTTTTACAGATCTGGATGAAATAACAATGGGTGATCAGCCCTGACATGGATTTTTTCAGTCTCTGGTTCATGTCATTGATTTCCTGAGATAGGAGTACGTTTTTTATTTATTTTTTTTTATTCGACACGGCAGAAGTGGACACGTGGAGAGAGAGAGAGACAGAGAGAAAGGTCTTCCTTTGCCGTTGGTTCACCCTCCAATAGCCGCCGCGGTTGGCGTGCTGCGGCCAGCGCACCGCGCTGATCCGATGGCAGGAGCCAGGAGCCAGGTGCTTTTCCTGGTCTCCCATGGGGTGCAGGGCCCAAGCACCTGGGCCATCCTCCACTGCACTCCCTGGCCACAGCAGAGGGCTGGCCTGGAAGAGGGGCAACCGGGACAGAATCCGGAGCCCCTACCGGGACTAGAACCCGGTGTGCCAGCGCCGCTAGGCGGAGGATTAGCCTAGTGAGCCGCGGCGCCGGCCTCATGTCATTGATTTCTAGCTGGAGTTTTATAAAAAGAGTAAAAGTCCATGTAAATGTAATTTTGACCTTAATTCAGATAAAGGTATGATACAATATCAACATGTTAAGTCACCGAGGTGTAACTGCCAAAAATAAATTGGGTAAAGGTAAATGAGATAAACGTGTCTAACAAAAATGTTTTCATTAGAGCCCATATATAAAGAATAATTCAAGACTGCTTAAAAATAACGAAGGTTAAAATTTGAATCTTATTTTAAAAATGTTTCTTTAATTTACAGATTTTTAAAGGATTATTTCGATATAAATCAAGAAATCAGCAGATAAAAAAGGGTCACAAATATAAAACTGTTCTCAGCAAGGAAGGTTAAGAAAGAAAGAGGTTTAAAAAACAGATTTAAGTTGCAGAAAGAGGTTAAAAAAACAAATTTAAGGGCCGTCGCTGCGGCTCATTAGGCTAATCCTCCTTTTGCAGCGCTGGCACAGCAGGTTCTAGTCCCAGTCGGGGCGCCGGATTCTGTCCCGGTTGCCCCTCTTCCAGGCCAGCCCTCTGCTGTGGCCAGGGAGTGCAGTGGAGGATGGCCCAAGTGCTTGGGCCCTGCACCCCATGGGAGACCAGGAGAAGCACCTGGCTCCTGCCATCGGATCAGTGCGGTGTGCTGGCTGCAGTGCGCTGGCCGCGGTGGCCATTGGAGGGTGAACCAAAGGCAAAGGAAGACCTTTCTCTCTGTCTCTCTCTCTCACTGTCCACTCTGCCTGTCAAAAAATTAAAAAAAAAAAATTAAGTTGTAAAATGTGAAAAAGTCACAGAAGGTAATGAAAAATTTTCTGGATACAATTAAAATCTGATCCTCTGTTAAAACAATGAGGATTTTGTAATACATATATGTTAGTAAACACATAATACATATATGTTAGTAAATATTTTAAAATAGTCTTTAAAATCTGTTAAAAAACTGCAACATCTCCTTTTAAGAGTTTTTATTTAACTGGGGACTCTGTCAGTTTTCTCACCAGACCCAGTGAGCTCTCTTCTCTTCCTAGTTCTGACTCTGTTACAATTGTTCCAAGTTACGGGATGATTCCACGTGCTAACTTATATATAAGATTTTATTTCCCATTTTAGTGGCAAAGAAACATCAATTTTGTATCCTATTGTTATCCTTTGTCTCTTCTTTTTTTTTTATGTGAAAAAAAAATTTTTTTTTCACAGGCAGAGTGGACAGTGAGAGAGAGAGACAGAGAGAAAGGTCTTCCTTTTGCCGTTGGTTCACCCTCCAATGGCCGCCGCTGCCGGAGCACCGCGCTGATTCGATGGCAGGAGCCAGGTGCTTCTCCTGGTCTCCCATGGGGTGCAGGGCCCAAGCACTTGGGCCATCCTCCACTGCACTCCCGGGCCACAGCAGAGAGCTGGCCTGGAAGAGGGGCAACCGGGACAGAATCCGGCGCCCTGACCGGGACTAGAACCCGGTGTGCCGGCGCCGCAGGCAGAGGATTAGCCTAGTGAGCTGCGTTGCTGGCTTCTTTGTTTCTTCTTAAATTCTGATAGTTTAAAAACAGCCGTGTTTTTATTAAAAGAATGGTGGTTTGGTTAAGTATATACTCATTCTAAAGCATTTAAATGATCGTTTTGTAACACCAAGAAAATCTGGTCTGTATCAGCGCTACTCATACAAATGTCCAAGAGTTACAAAAGTCTAATAATTTTGTTGTGTTATTAGTCACAGTGGTTGTCTTAATGAAATAGGCCCAGAGGACTGAAAAGGGATACATGTTTAATAAAATCTTATAGGTACTTTCTAAAATACTGTGTGGAATAAACAAGTGCCTCTTCCTGTTGGTTAATAAGTTTTATAATTTTAACCATGGTCCTTTAAAGCCTTTTGTCATTCACAGTTTTGTATTTTCCTCTGAACACTAAAAATCAGATATACTGCGCATAAAAATTAAAACATTGTTGGTACTGTGTTTAAATGTGTGCTCTTTTAGGCTTCAAAGGACTTTTTTTTCCTACCTTTATTGTATTCAGTACTTTGGTATGGCTCTACAAATAGATAAAGCCAAAGTTTAACAGGTTCCCACTAAAAAAGTATGGTTAATTCAGGTTACTAAAAACAGAGAGCAATTCTAATTAATTGGTAATTAAAAAAGCAGTTAAAGATCTTAAAAAGCTGTTACTAAGACTGCTTTATTGTTCTATCCTGTAATGTATATTATGTGTTATATATTTACATATTGTATGTACATAAAATATATTAATAGCTCTGTCTTAATTGACTTACAGATATAAGATTGCTCGTAAATTTAAACTACTAAGTTAACCCAAAATGCATTTTTGGTTCATGTGACCTAAATAAACTTCTTCTTCTTCTTCTTCTTCTTTTTTTTTTTTTTTTTGACAGGCAGAGTTGATAGTGAGAGAGAGACAGAGAGAAAGGTCTTCCTTTTGCCATTGGTTCACCCTCCAATGGCCGCCATGGCTGGCGCGCTGCGGCCGGCGCACCGCGCTGATCCAAAGCCAGGAGCCAGATGATTCTCCTGGTCTCCCATGCAGGTGCAGGGCCCAAGCACTTGGGCCATCCTCCACTGCACTCCCTGGCCACAGCAGAGAGCTGGCCTGGAAGAGGAGCAACCGGGACAGAATCTGGCGCCCTGACCAGGACTAGAATCCGGTGTGCCGGCGCTGCTAGGTGGAGGATTAGCCTAGTGAGCCGCAGCACCAGCCCTAAATAAACTTCTATATCAGGTGTTTTAAACTTGGTGGTACAGAGAAACCAGAAATGATTTTTTCAAGTCATTGACATGTTTATGCATGGGTTTGCTAGTCAAACAAGTTACACTTGTACTAGATATTCAAAATATATTTCCAACTATAGGTACTCTTCTAATTTATAAAAGACTTTAGACTTTTTGGTAAATATTTTCATAAGTTGTTATTTGACCGTTAAAATTGCTTGCTAAGTTTTCATTTAATATTAAATTATTGACAGTAAGTAATCTAAAAAGCCTGAATTCTCTTCAAGATGAGAAACTGATTTTATTCTAAACTTTCCATCAGGTTATGTTAGGTAGGAAGTTAGATATGAGCTTATGTGTGTGTGACAGGCCTAAAGAGAAGTCTATGTCCAGCATATGCATCTGCATCTCAAAGTCATCTGGATAATGTTTCAGGGGCAGCCCAGTATTTGCATCCTGCCCTGCCCCCTTCTAACCTGCCAGGTGGGGGTCCCCACCCCTTTTGCCTGACAAATCTTCCACAATCTCCCAGATGCAGCCCAGTATCTGCATTTCAAACACCCTGCTCCGATCCTGATTCGCCATGGGGTCTTGCTCACCCTTCCTGTAACTCAGGACGGCGGTGCCAGCTAGCCTTCCTCCTGTCTGATACCTTCAAGGGAAAGCTCAGATAGGAAATTCTTAATATTTACATCCATAAAATCCTTTGTTTCAGGAGGAGATGTGTGAAGACAAAGACCCATCTCCTTAAACATCCCGGCCTCAATGGACTGCGCGCTCAGCCCTCTGCCTCTCTGCTGAGCCACCCGCCTGCCTGGCCAGGTGTAATCTCTCCACTCAACCATGTAACCTCGCTCCTTCCCCCCGCCGAGCGACTGGGCACTCTCTCCCAGGTCCTGTCTGGAGAGGTGCCCATCTGTTCTTCCGGATGTCCCTACCCTAATAAACTTTGCTACCTTTTATTTTCCACTACGCTCTGTGTCACGCCTGAATTCTTTCTTGCGTGAAGACAAGAACCCTGCCATTCACCGGTAACAGTTACACAGTTTGATCTTCAGACCTTATAAAAGTAGTGGCTAACATTTTTCTGTCATCATGCCTGGCCACGTATAACAGCTAGATTTATTTTGCCATGGATACAGTAAACAGGCAAAACCTCCCTTTTCAATCCAAACTAACGGAGAGATACAAAGTCTTACTAATTGGTTCAAAATGGGTTAGGTAAAGTGGTCTTCATGTTTGATCTTATACATGCCTGTGACAGCACATTTCTAGCCCAGGCCACCAAAGATTAGTGATGGGATCGAGCACCCCTTGGCTAACATCCTAAAGGCCTCTGTGGTCTACTTTAACAAGGACCAGAAAAAGAGGAGTGAGCTAGACAACAGGAGCAATGTAAGGACAGGTGCCAGGCCAATTAATTACAGCTGCACACAGCGATCTGCCCTCAAGGAGACCCAACAGACCAGTCCACCCTAAATGGCATTGGCTTTCAGTGTAAAAAGCCAGGGCTTCAGACATACAGCAGTCACGGCAGAAGCCAGCCTCTGAAATGCCCTGGCAGCTCTGCCAGCCCAAAGCTGGGTCACTAGAAATGGAACTGCCCTGGAGTCGAAGGACTCCTGGGTCAGAACCGCAGGCCTTGTTGGCTCTAACCTGAAAAGCCCTTCATTCTGCCCAGCTTCCAACGTGACCACTGCCATCAGGGGGACAGCCTAGGGTCAGTAACATTGCAGACAGAGCTGTAGGCTTGCTTTTAGAGAGCCTGTCTGTTCTATACTGACCTCCCATTCAGGCCGGCTCTGCTCCCAGGCCAGCTAGGCAATGGGAGTCAACAGGGAGCCTGCCCTAAGGAGGTTCACACCTCCGTTATGTTGTCTCTTCCAGTACCCCATATAATTATCAAGTCTCTCCTGTTAGTTTGTTTGCCTCTAAATTAAAAACAAAACAAAACAAAACAAAAAAAACCTCCTTCTTGGTTTGGACAGCACCTTTCATAGGTCCTGTAATAATGACTTTGTCCTTTGTTTTAGACCTTGTGTATTTAATCTGCTTGTTAGATTTGTTTTCTCCAGATTTAAAGCAGTACAACTCTAGATGGCCATGCACATAAAATCTTGGATTAAAACAGTTTCTGCAAGCTGACACTGCAGCCCCCTCGAGAGGCCGCCTCCTGTTGGAACCCTGCTTTGACTGCCATTCCCACTCCACACCCAAAGGGGCCCCCAGGACACCGACCCCCTGTCAGCAGGAAGCAGCCAGGATGAGATGGACAGCCCGGATCTCTACAATAGTGGGGTGTGGATTAAAAGAGGGGGAGGTTGAGGCTGTCTGGTTGGGCTCAGTGTCTGTGGGCCCCTCAGGCTCTAACAGAATGTCTTGTACATACAGGCTGTAAGCTGTGAACAAAAGATTTACTCTGAGACCTGGTCCCAACTCTCCCCACTGTGATATTCTGTACCCAAAACTAGCAACAGGAGGGCTGGTCCACCAAAGCAAACACCAGCTCTTAGCACCTCCCCTTCCAGTTCTCACCAGAAGGCCCCATGGTGGTTCTGGTCCTCGTTGGGCTCAGCGTGGGGCACTGCTGCCCTCAGCACAGCAGCCTGGGTTCTGGGTGAGCTAAGTGCTTCCCAGACGCCAGCCTCAGCCAGCTCCAGCCTTCTATTGATCTGTTACACAGCTGGGTGGAGCCTCTTAAAGAGGCGGTCCTGATTGCAGGGCCTGCATTCTTAACCAGTTACTAAATCGCATTAGGCAAGTATAGCTTCTGCTAAACTCATGCATATGCATACCTATTCCTCTGCTCTACACTTCCTGATCCATACCATGTGGCTGAATCAAGGATTCGATTATTGTCAAAACACAAAGCGGGGAATGAAATAACACCTTGACAGTAGGGACTCCATTTTGGAGCACCTGAGACTCCATCTTGAGAAAGCACTGCCCCCTCACCCGCTGTGAGACTCTGGTCTGAAACTATGATATAAAACACCCGGACAATAGCCGTCCACTACATCACACCTGGCAACCTGCACCACACTTGGCAGAGCATAGAAACCCCCTAGCACGATTGCTCAAGCTTGGAAGTGGATAGGCTGCTCCTGGGTTCATGATGAAAATGTAATTTGTCTATGTCCCACATGTGATTTAAGCCAATACCTGCATTAATGTCAAGATTATAAGTGGAATTGTTAAGATTGTAACTGGTATTGTCAAGATTATAATTGATATTAGTTTCGCCAGCTTTACCCCGGTAACCATGTTCCCCCCGATCCTAGCAACCCTGTATTCCCCTCCCAATTTTGTGGTTTTTGCCTTTATAAACCCGGTTGCTTTGGGCTTCGGGGCCAGAGTTCTTTAGGGCAGGAGCCAACTCTCCACTGCCAGCAATAAAGGGCCATCAGGTTTTATCCATGTGTGGGGCTCCTCTGTTTGCACTTGCTCAGGTACAAGAGCAATTATTGGGTCATAGGGAAGTGAACGTTTGGGTTAACAAACAACCATCAGGTGAGTTTTCAGAGCGGTTGTTCCGTGTTGCATTCCCACCAGCAGTGGCTGAGTGATTGATTTCTCTGCATTCTCACCCTTTCACATTCTCACTACTCTTCATTCTAGCCAGTCTAATAGTGTGTGGTGATATCACAGCATGACTTTTTTTTAACATTTTATTTACTTGAAAGGCAAAATCACACACACATACAAACGGGGAGGGGGGTGGAGAGAGAGATCAGGAGCTGCCACCTGCGGAGCTGGCATCCCATATGGGCACTGGTTCGAGTCTCATGTGCTCCACTTCTGATCCAGCTCTCTGCTATGGCCTGGGAAAGCAGTAGAAGATGGCCCAAGTCCTTGGGCCCCTGCACCCTCATGGGAGACCAGGAAGAAGCTCCTGGCTCCTGGCTTTGGATCAGTCCAGCTCCGGCCATTGCTGCCATTTGGGGAGTGAAGCAGTGCATAGAACCCCCCCCCCCCCCCCGCCTCTCCCTCCTCTCTCGGTAACTGTGCCTTTCAAATAAATAATTTTTTTTTTAAGAAAAGAAAAAAGCTTAGAGCAATTGACACTGTGTCCCCCCAGGTGTCCTTGTGACAATCACCTTGTACTGGGCATGGCGGGCTCCTGTTGGAATCACTGGTGTGAACCAGTCACCTGTTACCCCACCCCTGCATTCCTCCTCCCCAGGGAGTCACAGGCCCCAAGCTCCCAAAGGCAAGGCAGTCTGAGCAAGAGGTTCACCAGTTTATTTCTTGGTGATTGCAAGAGCACTTGTAAAAACAGCGAAAGTGAGCAAAAGCAGCAAGTGGGCCGTAAATGGAGACACCGCTCAACGCTCCTACAGTCTTGGTTTGGCTTTGGTGGGACAAGCTGCCAGGGGCCGGGGGTCAAGAGCGAGGAGAGTGAAGCCAGGTCCCTTTGAGGTGAGGGTTCCGAATGTGGGTTAGGGGCGATGGGGGAGTGGGCTTCAGATCCAGATGTCGGAGCTGCAGTCACCCCCGGGGTAGCGGAGCTCATGGGCCAGGGCTGGGCCGTGGGGCTCTTTCCCAAAGTCCACCAGGAAGTTGGGGTTCAGCTTCAGCCCTCCCTTTTCAGTGTCTACATCAACCTGCAGCATCACGGAGCCTTCCCTGGTGGGGAAGAGGAAAGGGGTGAGGGAGATGTCAGAGGTGTGCGGCTTTTTCCCCAAGCTGGCGTGAGGGAGGAGGAGGAGGTGTGGGGTCTGCAGGGGCCACGCCAGGTCCCTGGGGAGTCTTCAGGCAGCTGTATGACTGTGCTGGGAGAGGAGGATCAGTGGGTTGTCTGCTTCTCACCTGATGAGATCAGGGTAAAACTGCTTGTCCCAGGCACTGTACAGCGATGTGGTGACGTAGAGACGCTTCCCGTCCAGGCTAAGCTGGATCATCTGTGGGCCTCCAGCCACCCGTTTTCCCTGGGAAGAGCAGACGTCAGACCCCAGGGTAGCACACAGGTCCTATGAGGTATCGTGGGCACCACCCAAATCCCAAGTGCATGCTGAGATGTCCCCCCCACCCCCTGCATCTTTGAGCAGGCATCTGAGGGGGCCTGTGGGTTGGGGAGTGAGGACTCCTCACCTTGACCACCAGGGGCTCCGGCTGGCATCTGAGCTCCTGGTCCTCCAGCACTTGCACGGGGCCTCCCTTCACGATGCTGCCCCCGAGGAAGATCTGGGTGGGGAGGACAGGGGTGGGAGGAGTGGACGATGCAGGAGAAGTAGCTGTGCAGACACGTTCCCCAGGTCCAGCCAAGGCTCCCCACAGTGCTGGGCCCGCACCACCCCCACCCACATTTTTGCTTCTTCCTCACCTCCTTTATCATCCCCCAGCTACCTCACCCCCTCTACCCCACCCCTGGGACTTGCTAGAGTCCTTCCTGCTGTCCCCCTCTCTGCAGGGGCCCGCACCTGGCCCACGAGGCGGGGCTTCTGCGGGTTACTGATGTCATACTGCCGCAGGTCCCCGTGCAGCCAGTTGCTGAAGTAGAGGAAGCGGTCATCCAGGGACAGCAGGATGTCGGTGATCAGGCCTGGGGAGCGGAAGGGTTCAGGGGCTTTTTAAAAATTTTTTTAAACTTACTTATATTTTATTCATTTGAAAGGCAAAGTGACAGAGATACACAGGGAATGATTTTCCATCCTCTGGTTCACTCCCCAAATGCTAACGACAGCTGAGGCTGGGCCAGCCCCAAGCCAGGAGCCTGGAATGAAATCCAGGTCTCCCACGTGAGTGGCAGGGACCCACGTCCTGGCGCCATCACCTGCTGCCTCCCAGGGTGCACCTGAGCAGGAAGCTGGAATCCCGAGCAGAGCCAGGACTTAAGCCAGATGCTCTGGTACGGGATGTGGTGCCCAATGCCTGCTGCGCCCAATGCCTACTTGAGGGGCTTTCATCAAAAATTGAAAATTTATTTCTTTACTTATTTGAGAGGCAGAGAGACAGAGCTACCACTCATTTAT